TCAGGGCTCAGAGTGTGACCGGGTTCAGGGGTCAGTGTGTGAAAAGGATCAAATTTCTTTATATGACCTGATCAAGGCTCAGGGTATAACCAGGGATCAGGCTAAGGCTGAGGTCAGGGTCAGGCAGCCCTGGGCTGGGCTGGGGGGCCAGGGCCTCACCTCCCTCTGCTTGGGCCACTGGTGGGACGTGTCCAGGAGGGTTCTCACGTGTGTCCTGACAGAGGTGCTGTTGTCCTCAGCTTGAAGGATCAGCCCATAGTAGATGAACAGAAAAGCCTGGGGGAGGTTCAGCTTCTTGTCCTGGGCCTGAGCCACTTCTGTCCACCCCGATGGCCAGCCTTCTCCCCTGACCAGGCTCCCCCAGCCTCCCTGGGCTCCTGTAGCCACCCTCACGACCCTGCTCTGGGATCATCAGGCCCCTCCTGGTGGAGTTTCAGGGGTGCAACTCCAAGTTCCCCTGTTTCCTTTGGGTCCCAGTGTCTTTCTAGGGCCCTGGGCCTTGCTTTAGGTGTGCATCCTATGGACAGAGCCCCTGGGCCTGCGTGGTGGGGAGACAGGGTGTGGTCCACCTTCTCTGGGGGCTGCTCCTGATGTGTCTGGTCAGGCTTGGTGAGTGCCAACAGCAGCTCCTTGGACCACACGTCTGTGTTCAGGAACTGGACCGACTTGACAGCCATCTGTGAGCAGAGGGGTGTGGGCAGGGCTGGAGCGCTCCCTCCCTCCACCCTGCGGGCTAGAGCTGAGGCCTCCACCTGCCTTGGCCCGCCCTTGCCACTTAGAGCCCTGACTCCATCATTCTCTTGCTTTGCTTCCCCTGAGTCTCCAGGGCCAGCCCTCTGATTTGCTTGATAGCCCCCAGGAGTGGGGATCTCACTCCTTGAGATTCCCCTCCCTGGAGGTGTTCAAGGAGACGCTGGAAACCAGGAGCCTGCCCGTGTCCCCGACACTGGGCAGAGGCTCAGACATCACAGATGTTCAGTGTCAGCTGAAGGCGGCCCGGCCAGAAAGTGTGGGTGCTGGGAGAGCAGGGTCTGTCACCTCCGTTCCAGGCTGTCTCCCTGGCACCTGGCAAAGTGCCCGACACGTAGTCGATGCTCGATCAGTATTGTTTGGAATGAATGAATGAGAGATCAAATGAACAGATGAAGTGTCTCTTCTAAATATAAAGTCCTAGAAGTTTTGCCCTAACATATGATGACCACAAGATTTCTCTATTTCCCTATGTTCCCAGATTCCACAGTTCAACAAGTCCAAGATTTTGATCCTAAGGTCCTTCGGGGTGAAGATACTCCTCCTAAGTTTGATCCCAAACCCAAAAATCTTTATAGAAGAAATGACTGATAAATGTGAAGATAAATATTTTAAGAAGTTTGTTCAGCAAAACCACCATAAATTAAGTTGAAAGATGCAGTAAGTTGTTTTTGTTTGCTTGTTTTTTGGTTTTTCTGCAACCCATTGTCAAGGGTTAGTATAAGTGATAAAGAGCACTTCACAAACCAGTAAGGACCTGGGGACAATCCACTTAGACAGGACGAAAGCACACATGCATGACAGACATACTATACACTCAGCCTTGCTCATATTTAAGGAATGGAAATTAAGACAATGTACCGTTCTGCCTAAGACTGGCAAAATATAAAACTGCCCCGGGTCAGCAGGAAGTGTCCTTTGGTGGGAAGGTCTACATTTTTTGGCAGCATCGATTACAGTCTAAAGCGTGTGTGCCTTTCCCCAAGCAATTCCATTTCTAGTAATTCATCCTAAAGGAGCACTAATAGGTACCTAGGTTGGAACACAAGCAGCCTTCCTGGACGCAAGCCCGCTTAGAGCGCCCCTTGCAGGTGGGACCTTTGGCGCCCTCTCTGGCGATGCTCCCTGGGGCGGGGGAGGGGGTGGAAACTGCCCCGGGCTTGTGGCAGAGTCTGGAGGAGTTTGCCCCAGTTTTGCCCCGTGTCTGCAGGATGCTGGGGTGCAGCAGGGCCTGATGGCTACTCCCTCCCCGCACCCCCACCAGCCACCGCCCCCAGGACAGATGTCAGCTGAACCCCATGGGACCAGGGCTACCTGGAAGCCCTGGTTCTCAGCTAGTGTCCACTTCCGTTCAGCGTGGCACGGACCGATGCTGCTGCTCCTCATCCGAGGCCCAGAATCAAAAACTCAGAAAACTAAACAAGCTTGCATGCCTTAGCAGCAGCCTCACTTGGCGGTAAAAGCTTGACCCACACTGATGCGACACTATTTATGGGAATTAGTGTGAGTCTTGTATGTTTCTGCAGCCGAGATATTAATATGTTTTAAATATTCTTTACTGAAGTGTAGTTAAAACACAGTGTGACATTAGTGTCAGGTGCGCAACATAGTGATTCAACATTTCTGTACGTCACTCAGAGCTCCCCACGGTGAGTGCGGTCACCACACAGCGTCATGACGATGATTGGCTGTATTCCCCACGCTGCACTTTCCATCCCTGTGACTTATTTATAATTGGAAGTTTGTACCTCTTAACCCCCTTTGCCTGATTCGCCCACCCTCCAATCCCCTCCCCTCTGCAGCCACCAGAGTTCTGGTGGTTCTCTGTATTCAGGAGTCCGGTTTTTTGTTTGTTTGTTTGTTTGTTCATTTGTTTTGTTTCTTCAATTCCACATATGAGTGAAATCATATGGTATTTGTCTTTCTCTGACCCACTTATTTCACTCAGCATAATACCCACTACATCCATCCATGTCGTTGTAGGTGGCAAGATCTCATTCTTTTTTATGGCTGTGTAATATTCCATTGTGTATATATACTACACCTTCTTTACCCATTCATCTATGGATGGACACTTGGGCTGCTTCCATATCTTGGCTATTGTAAATAATGCCGCAGTGAACATAGAGGTGCGTGTATCTCTTCAAATTAGTGTTTTTGTTTTCTTTGGATAAATACCCAGTAGTAGCACACCTGGATCATATGGCAATTCTATTTTTATTTTTTTGAGGAACCTCCATCCTGTTCTCCAGAGTGGCTGCACCAGTTTGCATTCCCACCAACAGTGCCTGAGAATTCCCTTTTCAGCACATCCTCGCCAACAGACTTGTCATTTCTTGTCTTTCTGATAGTAGTCACCATTCTGACAGGTGTGAGGTGGCATCTCATTGTGGTTCCAATTTGCATTTCCCTGCCGGTGAGTGATGTTGAGCATCTTTTCGTGGGACTGTCGGCCATCTGTGTGTCTGGGTTTTGGATGTTTTTATGGAGGCATGTTTCATGGAAGGCATAGATCTTTACCGTGGGGCACGATGCACTGTGACAAACATACAGACCCACACAACTCTCACCCTCCCAGGAACTAGAGCATATTCCACCAGCCCACAAAGCTCCCTCACTCCCCTTCCTAGTCAATCTCCATCACTACAGAACTGTCACTGACATCACCACGGTCTAGTTTTGCGTTTTCTAGGACACCATACACTTGGCATTCTGCAGGCGCGCTCTGTGTGCCTGGTGTTCCCAGCATGTGTCTGCCATGCCTTCGTCGTGCCGCACGGGTCAGAAGTCCACTGCTCTCTGCTGCGACTTCTATCATTCCCTGTCCCCTGCGTCGTTTCTTCCACTTGCTTTTCATTCTCCAGCTTCTTCAGGTGGAGGCTTACAGACGGACTTCTGGTTGTTGGCTGGGGAACTGCTCTGCCTGGCACGGGCTGTCTCCAGTTCGAGGCTGTTTGGCGCAAGGCCTCTGGAGGGCTGCCGGCTCTGAGCCCCGCCCCCTGCACTGAGCCCCTCCCCTGTGCTTAGCCCGGCCGCCTCCGCGAGATTCCCGCCCCCAGCGCTGAGCCCCGCCCCTCTGCACGAGCCCCGCCCTCTGTGCTGAGCCCTGCCCTCTCTGCGCCGAGCCCCGCCCTCTCTGCGCCGAGCCCCGCCCCCTGCGCTGAGCCCCGCCCCCTGCGCTGAGCCCCGCTCTCTCTGCGCAGATCTCTTGCTTTTTGCCCTGAGCTCCAGTCTCCCTGACGCCCTACTTGCAGCCCCCTTTCGCCTGGAAGCCCAGTCCAGCCTCCAGACCTCAGTTTTGGGGTCTTCCGGTTCAGTCCTTCCCCAAGTCCCCGCTTCCAGGCCGGATTGCTGGTGGCCCTGGTCACTGCTGCTGTGTGCGTGCGTCTTGTTTTGTAGACAAAGTCTCCTGCTAACTGGGCTCTCGGAACCAAAAAGCCTCAAGAATTGGTGGGCACCGTCAAGTACTTAAAAACTATTAGAGCGCTTGCCATCTAATTCCGACTCCTGTGTTAGGATCAGTTGGTCACAGAATGGGTTAGATGGACACTAGGTCACCTGTCAACCTCAAGAAAATTTCCCCATAGTGAGGCGCACGGTAGAGCAGGCACGATCCCCAACCTCGAAGCATATCTCTCTTAGGTATTAGTTTGGCTCTGAGAAACCCCCAAAGGCTTAGCTATACAAGGAAGAAGAAAAAACAAAAAGAATGAGATCCTTAAACCCCAAAGAGTCAAGTGCACCACTTTCTACCACACCCGCTTATTTTATGTCTAAGAACTATGGTCCCAGAGCTATAAATATCTGCAAAAATGGCAAAATCTTACTAAAAACAGCCTAAAATTACAATGGCCATTATGAGGAAGATTCCAATGAGACAGGATCGTTTAGTTCAGAAGTGGACTTGAGAACAAGGTTTCCCAGACTAAACAAACAGAAAGGGATACCTAGTTTAATTGCGATGAGGAAGCTTCTGAAAGTCTTCACGATCCCAGAAAAGCTTCAAAGATTCAATGCAGAAGGCTAATGAAAAACGAGAGACACAAGAGCTGCCTAAAACAAGACCCTGGGACTGATGTGACTCCTTGGGCTCGCTCCTTCCTCCTTGACCCGAGATCTCACACTCTCCCGATTCTGCAGAGGCCATGACACAGTTACCTTTAAAAATAAAACTGCTGGAGGCTCAGGGATCTTCCTCAGTATCTTTTATTCCTTGGTCAAAGGCCAAACTAAGGGCAATCGTTAAAGAATTTCCTAAATCCAGGGAGGGTCCTCAAAAGTTCTCTGAAGAATTTAGATTTCTTACCCCGGGGTGCCAGACCTTGGTCAGCTGTGCCCCTGCTGGTGGGGGTGGGAAGCCCCAAAGTGGAAGCTGAGGCAGGATGGTGTCACCTGAGGATCCCCAACCTTCAACACGGTCCCCTTAGGGGCCACAAAAAGCAGCAGCCTTTCCCAAGCCGTTCCTAGAGCTCTCTCGGGCCGCAGGGATTGCAGTTACTCAAATGTGCCGACAATGGACAGGCCTGTGGCCGACTTCAAAGTCTGCCTGGAAGGTCCCTTCCTCCAGTGTTCCGCGGTTTAGACAATAACCTAGGGCACCCAACGTGTTCTAGCTGCCCTATTTGTACGTGGAGCATCTCCCAACATTAGGGGATTGATAAAAAGACACAAAACAGGATGGGAGGCCACGGGTCTGACTGAACTCACGACAGCAGCTGAGCACTTTGAAAGGTCATGGGAGCAAGGCCGCAAACAGAAGTCCGCCAAGCCGTTGGCCTGACAGCGGCCGCGGCCCCGGGGTCAGGGACCTGGAGTAGCAGCTGGGCCTCCCGGGACTGCTGTCTCCGCTGTAATCGGCTGGGCGCTGGAGAGCTGTCCCCACAGGCCCCATGGGCCCACACCACGTCGCATGTCCCCGGGCCCACCC